TCATATAGACATACAAGAATGAAACTCTAAAAAACAGAGGAGGCAGATTTGACTGGGTTGAAGATGTATACCTGACAAGTTCCTATACAGAAGCCAAAATGGTACACAATTCCCATTTATAGGTATTCAATATGACAGGTTACAAAGTATTTTCATAAGACCCAATCATCACCATTATACAAGGAAGAAAATTGAGATTTGAAGATGCACGAGAAGCTGCTTGTGTTGCATGTTTAATATCAAAACTGAGGCAAGAATCTGGGTTTCTCAGACTCCAGGTCAGATTTTAACACAACAACAGGTAGAGTTAGCTTGAACAGAACCACACTAAGCACCCTTGAATATCTATCCTAGGGCTCAGATGTCAACAATGAGACTTCCTAGTAGGGAATAAAAACACCCCACTATGTCAGTCATCAATTTGGTCCACTGAGCTTATAAAGTGTCCAGTTGGTATAAGGTTAGTGGGGAAGTCTTTTTTTATTACTATTCTTTCCTGTTATGTGCCAAATAACCTAGAAATGATGTTCTCAAGGAGCTACTAATCTGCTCTCAAATAGGTGGCAAGTTCCTACTTGAGGAGCTGGCAAAACTCACCATAGGGTGAGCTTGGATGAAGTAGACAGTTATCCTACAGTATGGAGGCACAACATACCAGAAAACTGCCAATTTCACCTACCAAGTTCATCAGCACCAACAAAAATTCAGTAGTTCAGTGACCCGACTCTATGTCCTACCTGGACATTTCAGAGCTTGAATAGCTTCCAAAGAGTGCTTCAGAGATGAAGAAGAAATAAAGGCCTATGGTCATATACCTAATAGGTGGCAGAGTCATGACTAAGACTCAGGTCTCACATTTCCTCATATAGGTATTACTGTTTTCACAATACCATTCTACCCTTAACCAAAAGCAATATACCAGAATGGAAATAGCAATTTTTTAAAAAGATCTATTAGAAAAGACCTTCTATAACTTCTATCATGCAATCCCTTGGGTATCAACTAATCTTACCAGAAATATAAACCTACAAATAAATACTAATTCATGAGAATTGAAAGGTCTATCTTGGAGCAAACATTTACATCATTCATGTAACAGTCTAATCATTTTTTTAACTGGTAATAGCACAATAACTGGCCCCTAAGGTTCCATGGTACTTTCCTTTAGAAATATGAAAAATATTTGATTATTCTTAGAACAAACAAGACAAACACAGTGGCTCACAACTATAATCCCAACATTGTGGGAGGCTGAGAAGGATTACTTGAGGCCAGGAGTTCGAGATCAACCTGGACAAAATAGTGAGATCTCATCTCTAAAACAAAAAATTTTAAAACATGAGTCATGCATGGTGGACTATGCCTGTATTCTCAGCTACTTGGGAGGCTGAAATAGGAGGATCAATTGAGCCCAGGAATTCAAGGCTATAGTGAGCTATGATCATGCCATTGCACCCCAGCCTGGGTGACAGAGCAAGGCCCTATCTCTAAAGTAAACAAGGAAACAAATAAAAATGTGAGCAATAATAAAATAAATGCCCAATAAATAAATGAGGCAGCATGGAATATTATGTTAGTTTCTCAAGAAATAAACACTGATATAATAAAAAAAATACTGGAGCTCTGCATTATGATTTAGGCTCTATTATTAATGCTTCAGGATTATAATCACAGTACTCAGTTCAGATTTGTGCTGTCTGATATAGCAGCCACATGTGTTTAGCAAACACTTAAAATATGGCTAATGCGTATTGAGCTGTGCTATAAGCATAAAAAATACACCAGATTTCAAAAACTTTGTACAATACATCATTAATAATTTTACAGTGGAAAAATATATGTTATCAAAAGATAATATTTTAGATACACTGGGTTAAAATAAAAACACATATAAAGGCCAGCCACAGTGGCTCACGTCTATGATTCCAGCATTTTGGGAGGCCATGGAAGGAGAATTGCTTAAATCCAGGAGTTCAAGACCAGCCTTGGCAAACAGCAAGGCCCCATTTCTACAAAAAATAAAAAAATTAGATAGGCATGGTAGTATGTGCCTGTAGTCCCAGCTGCTCTGGAGGCCGAGGTGGGAGGATCACTCAAGCCCAGGAGTTTGAGGCTGCAGTAAGCTGTGATCACACCACTACATTCCAGCCTGAGTAACAGAAAAAGAATCTGACTCAAAAAATAATAAAAGTATATATATATATAAATTTGACCTGTATATTTTCTACTTTTTTAGTGCTGTGACTAAAAAAAATTAAATTATATTTGCAGCTCACATTTCCGGCCCTCATTATATATTCTATTGTCTAATACAAATATAATGACCAATGGTTCTTAACTCAGGCTGCACAGTAAAATCACCTGGGAGCTTTTTAAAAAATTCAGTTTCTGGGCCCTATCTCCAGAGATTCTTAATTAACTAGCCTGGAGACTAGGTTTTAGTTTTTTTGTTTGTTTGTCTAGCGTTATTTTAGCTACTGAAGTGATTTTGTTGTACAGCCAGGGTTGAGAACCACTGAACTAGAATCTATACCAAGTGGCTGCTGGGGCTTTGTGTCTGGAGGAACACTCCTCCAGGCCTTTTATTTAGGATTACCAATGCCTACTCCTAATCCTATTTGCCTCTCTGAGCCAACCTGGCTTGCTCAATTATTTTCCCCAATCCCTTGATTTATTATTAATACATAGTAATAATAATAATTTTAACTATAATAATAAAAGTGACATTTCTCTGAAAGTGAAGTGCATTTGAGTTTGGATGATGTCATCACTGAGTACCCTGTAATCCTTCTTCTTCTATTTTAATTTAATTTTTTATTCTCCACCATGAGAATCATAATCCTTCATTTATTTATTTATTTATTTATTTATTTATTTATTTATTTATTTAGAGTTGGAGTCTCACTCTGTCACCCAGACTGGAGTGCAATGGCCACTCCCGGCCACCGCAGCCTCGACCTGCTGGGCTTCAGCGATCCTTCCACCTCAGCCTTCCAAGTAGCTGGGATTACAGGCATGCGCTACCACGCCCGGCTGATTTTTTGATTTATTGTAGAGATGAGGTCTCGCTGCCCAGGCGGGTCTCGAACCCGCGGGCTCAGGCAATTCACTCACCTCAGCCTCCCAAAGGCGCGGGCCGAGCCCGACATAATCCTTCATTTAAAGAGGGAAGTTTGTCAGCACAACAGACACAAGCTATATGTGTACAGAGCCTCACACTAGTCCTGCAGTTTTGTGATTATTGATACGTTTTTTCTGACCACCCCTGGGCTCATTTATCAACCAGCAAACTGAGGTGGGGCACAAAGGGCATTTAAAGACTCTGATGGAAGCAAAGATTAGATATTTCATTAGAAGATTCTCAGGATAGAAGGAGATGAGAGGTCATTTTGTCCATTCCTCTGCTTCTAGACAATGCCCTTACCTAAATCGCCTCAACCAGGTAATAATGCTTTCTGGATTAGCGGTCCTCTGAGGAGGGTTTATTTCAACCCTTAGAGCCATCCTTAATACATGAACCATCTTGGAGTTAATGAGGTGGTGGTAATGGTGATAATGATAAAACATGTTACCATTTGCCAAGTACCCAATATCTGTCAAACACCCAATATCTGTGCTGGAACCTTACATATGTGATCTCATTAAATCCTTAGTAAAATCAGTTATCCCTAATTTTCAGATGAGGAAATCAAAGCTTAGGGAAGTTAAAAATCTAAACAAAAATGATAGAGCTAGGAGGTAGTAAAGCTGTATCTCAAGTTTTCTGATTCCAAATTCTATGCTCCTTCCTTCATATCTCTCTGCCATAATTCCAATCTTGAGACACTTAAACCTCCAAGAGCCCAACCCATCTGACTTTTTTATTTGGGCTGCAGAGGACTTCAATCTCATCTTACCGGAGAAACTAACAAAAAGTGGTAGGCTGTGGTTAGGATGGTCATAGCACACCCTTATGTAGCACTGGTACTTATCTTGCCACAAAGCAGTTTTCACATGTTTTTATCTCATTCACTGCAACATCCCCTGGCATAAAAAACATGCTAAAACCATTTTACAGATGGAGAAAATCAGAGCTCATGATAGTCAAATAACTGATTTCAGTTCACAATCCCAAGAAAGGCCAAGAACTTGGATACCTAGCCAGTGTTCTTCTCCCATTGCATCCTGGGGTGATAAGTACCCTGGGGAAACTGCAGCAGAAACTGCTGAGAGAGCTGTCCCAAGAGCCCCTCTGTTAAGGGCCTAGATCTTCATGGTACAATGTCAAAGAGAAGGAGGCCTTGAAAGCCCTTGTAGGCTGCCTGCTTCCCATTCCCAGCACATTTAGACCCAGCCACTTGATTCTCTTGCAGAAAGCAAGATCTGATATCAATAAGCTCTAGCCCCTGGAGGCCAGAGCCCACATTCTTCTATTAACATCTGAAGACAGTCATGTGACAACACAGAGGGGTGTTCACACTTCCCTAAATGAGAGAAAGAGGCAAATAAGTAGTGAGGAAGGCAGGAGAAGAGGCAAGTAGAGGGGAAGGAAAAGAGTAGAGAAGAGAAGAGAGCAGAAGAGAGGAGAGGAGATGGGAATAATCTATAATAAGAAAGGATAAAAAAGAAGGGATAAAGAAAAGAAAGCAGAAAATATGAGAGATAAGAAAGGCAAAAACTCACAGCAATACCATTTAAAAAGTCTTCAAAAACCATCAAAGCCAGCCCCCAAAGAGGATACTAGAGTAAGTGATATGTACAAAGGTGAGAGATGGAGGAGGAGGGTGTTAAAATAAACAAAGACAAAAAAAAGTCTAAAAAGTAAAACTGCAAAGATAAAAGAAAGCCCAGGTCCTCAGTAGGAGACATCAAAAAAAATAAATAAAGAAAGAAAAGAAAAAGAAAAAAATATGAGATAAGTCACTAGGAGAGAAATGAGCAGGAGAACAGGGGCTTGGGAAGGGGAAGCTAGGGGCAGGCAGCCAAGGAGAAAGGAGCGGAGAGTGAAGGCTGACACTCACCCTCACAAAGCTGGCAGGAAACCATCCCTCCTCATCGTCGATCTGGCCCCACCACCAATCCTTGTTGGAAGCATCCAAGACTTTGATGACGTCGCCAGCCTTAAATGCCAACTCCCGGTTGGCCATGGTGACGTGATCCCATACTGCCTCAGCACTAACGATGGAATCTCCAGTGATCAGCTTAGGAGACAAAATGAGAATGTGTTCAGTCCACACAGCTGGCTACCTTGCTTGTCCCTTCCCCAACCCAGAGCTCTACTACTTATAGAAAAACTCATATACTCTAGGGGTTATGGGGTAGGGGTAAGGGGAATGGCACTGGAGCATAAGCTCTGTTGGACCACAAGACAAACAATACTGTCAACTCTCCATTGCCAGTGCCTGGAATGACCCAGAGTGTGAATATAGACTATATAAGCCTATGCTATTTATTCCTACTTATGAACTCCTGCAGAGAACAAAGAAAGCTTCAGCACATAGCTCCTTAGTGCTTTGAGGAAGCCCTGGATCTAGAATGGGCAGAAAGACTGAAATTAATGGCTGAAATGAATCTCAAGCTTATTACTTTACAATTATTTCCTCCTCCACCTTGGAAATGACCAATTAAGAGTTGGCAGTACATTATTTAACTTCACCCATACCCCTTCCCCTAGGGTAACAGACCATGACATTTCTCACACACAATGGATCCCAGTCCTGCAGCTTCCTGCTCTCACCCACATATGACGACATTCAAAGAGGTCATGGGTGTACGAAAGAATATAGCTTTCTGTGATGCCTTGCTCCCAGGAAACTCAACCTTGGCACAGATTCACTCAGTGATTTGTATAACTGCCTTGTGAGCTCTTGGGGGGGAGTGGGGCTGGGTTGACATCTGCATTTGATAGGTGACAAAACTGAGTAACAAAGAAGTTAAGGAATGAGCTTGAGATCACCCAGCAAGGCAGGGTCTGTGTATGGACCCTAACCCTGGTTATTAAACTTCACGACCAGCAGGACTGGGTTCCACACAATAGCAGACAGACATCTATCCCACTGACACGTTAAAAAACACACATCCAGGACACTAAACTAAATACAGTGATAAGGATGGGGGTGGGGAGTAGACTTCTCTCTGGTTACCATCCTGACCACTTTGTTATTTGTTCCCTTTTTCCCTCAACTGTTCCAGTTTCCATGGGCCATCAGTCTTCCTGGCATTTGGGGAGCAGATTCCAGAATAGAGAACATATGGCCTGTCAGGCAAAGAAACTTAAGAATTCTCTCCCCAACACTGAATTTTTTTAATCAGCCTGCTTTGAGGAAAGACTGACTCCCAAGAAAATCATAGCTCCATAATACCAAAAACAAGAATTAATACAACAGAGATAGTCTATGGAATATGCATCCTCTCTCACAGATCTGCTCTCCAAAATACTTGCCAGAGAATAAACCTATAGTCACCAAATGAATGCACAACATTTCACACACATATGAACACACACATACTCCCGATCTTCGACTTAGTCCATCAGGTGGTTCCTGAGGCATCTGACATTGCTCAGGATTCCAGCCTTCCACAGAATGTTAAGCATAGGGAGAGCTCCTCAGCATGGATGTACAAGTATTTCCAGCAGGACCTTTCACAACACCACCTTTCAAATACCTCATACTTTATTGTTTGCAAAGTGTCTTCACATCTACTGCATCACTTGATCCTTATTGAATGAACAGGGTCCCACTATTACTTATATTTTAAAGATGAGGAATCTGAGGCTCAGAGAGGTGACCTGACCTTTTAGCCAGTAACACAATAAATTATGGAGCCAGGTCTTCTGACCTCAAGAGCTTTTATACTCATCAAACCATACTACCAATGCCTACTCATTAGCTATACTGAATTCCAGCCATGATATCTTAGGCCAGTTGGCTCCTATTCTTATTACTTTACAATTATTTCCTCCTCCACCTTGGAAATGACCAATTAAGAACCCCGAAGAAGGAGATTTAGATAGCCACCTTTGGTCACTGGTGTCCCTGCCTCTGAAAAAATTCATATTTATGTTGAACTTGCTTTTGTCTAAAGGTACTAAAAGTCAATTTCTACTTGTTCTGGCCTCAGTGAAGGAGAAAATAAGTCTCCCTTCTCCTGGCAAAGATGGGTCTCAACCGGGCGTTGTTAGTGCTCAATAAGCAGTATAGCCTCAATCCAGAGCACCATGAAAGCTTGTGGTTTTAAAGCTACATTCATGGCTTTTTTTTAAAATCAAGGATCAAAAGAGTATCTCAGCATCAATTATCAACCCTCTTCTCAGGACACTACTTATGATATTGTTTGAGGTCCCCCAGACCCAGGTCCGGCTGATTCCGCTGCCTGTACTCTTTTTACTTTGCAGTTTTCTTTTTAGGAACTAAATGCTTTGCTTCTCTCAGCAGCAGATAGCTTGTTCTTATCCCCTATTTAGTCCACCTGACATGCCTGAACCCTCAGGTTACAGGACCCAGGTATACTCCAGACAAGACCAATTCAGGACCCAGTGGTCATAAAACAATTATCCAACTGGCAAGCCTGTTGTCAGGGCCTACTTTGAATCAATGACTGTCAGAATTAGGCAGCACTTTAAAGATCATCTCCCTCAAGCCCTCATTTTATACATCAAATATAACAAAAGTAGCTTGCCTACAGTAACCAGATGGCCAGCCTCCTGGAGCAATGTTTTTTCTGTTTTGTTTTGTTTTGTTTTTCTAGCATAACACCATAGAGAAGGAAGACATAAAAACATCTGGGATTTAAGACTTTGCTAAAGGTGTAATGGAAATGATGATGTTAGCTAATATAGAATGCTTACTTCTTGCCGGGCACTATTCTAAACATGTTATATACATTAATTCATTTAAGCTTCACAGCAACCCTTTAAGGAGATACTATTATTATTCCTATCTTACAGTTAAGGAAATTGAAGCTCAGAGAAGTTAAATTATTTGCCCAAGTTCACACCACCATTAACTATTGAAGCACGATTCAAATACAGGAACAGTCTGCCTCTAGGGACTCTGCTCTTATAATGAACTATACTGCTTCTGAGTTTCAGTTTCTTCACCTATAAAATGAGGATAATTCTACTCCCCTGGATGCCTCATAAGCTGTGAAACACTGAACCTAGAACTGACAAGTATGTGTGCAGAGGTGAGAGGAAGGCTAATCCAGAAGGGGCTGGCAGCTGTGTGGGGCGCCTATGCTCTCCCATCACAAACACAAGCAGGAGCAAGGAGATTCTCCTCCCTTGTTCTCTGAGTTGTTATTAAAAAGTAAACTGGCCAGGTTTGGTGGCTCAGCCTGTAATCCCAACACTTTGGGAGGCCGAGGCAAGTGGATTGCCTGAACCCGTGGGTTCAAGACCCACCCGGGCAACTTGTCGAGACCTCATCTCTACAATAAATTAAAATTAGCCGGGCGTGGTAGTGCATGCCTGTAGTTCCGGCTACTTGGAAGGGTGAGGCGGAAGGATCGCTGGAGCCCAGCAGGTTGAGGCTGCAGTGGCCGGGAATGTGCCACTGCACTCCAGTCTGGGCAACAGACTGAGACTCCAACTCAAAAAAAAAGTAAACTGGCCAAGCACAGTAACTCATGCCTGTAATTCCAGCACTTTGAGAGGCCAAGGTGGCAGGATTGCTTGAGTCCAGGAGTTCAAGACCAGCCTGGGCAACATAGTAAGACCCCGTCTCTCTTGAAAAAAAAAATTGGAACCAGGAGCAGTGGCTCACACCTATAATCCCAGCACTTTGGGAGGCTGAGGCGGGAGAACCAAGGATCACTTGAGCCCAGAAGTTCAAGACTAGCCTGGGCAACACAGTAAAATATCAAAAATCTTAGCCAGGTGTGGTGGCACATACCTGTAGTCCCAGCTACTCAAGGGGCTAACATAGAAGGACTGCCTGAACCCAGGAGGTCAAGGCTGTGGTGAGACATGCTTGTGCTACTGCACTCCACACTAGGGAACAAAGTGAGACGTCCAACTTAAAAAAAAAAAAAGAAAACCAACTTTGGGCTGGGAATTTATACTAATGTTCCCTTTGTGTACACAATTGACTTGTAACATGTTACATCTTTTTCATATATATGTACTTTTCTGTGCGTCTCCATTTTCCATCCAATGGATATTCAGTGAATTCCTACTATGTGCAGGGATCCGCTTGCTATGATTCACCTATAGTCTTTACCTGAAGAACAAGGGTTTTTGGACCTTCAAGCAGTATGCAGATATGGTCAAGCCAAGAAAAGGCCCTTTGGGAATAGCTATAGCAGGGGTTGATTATCTTTTCCTAAACTAGTTTCTATTCTCCACACCAAAAGCCCTAATTCCTAATTGTTCCCACCCTTCATCTTGCAAGCCTAACATAAAGACAAGAGATGGTGATGCATTATTTGAGCAAAGTACCCAAATAGCTGTGGGCCATGGAACAGAACTACTGTGACTTGTAAGGAAATAATTTCCAGTCCCCAAGACATTTCGGAGGAAACACCAAATATAGGTTGGCTCTTGCCCAGACTTACAAGTGAGTGGGGCATTGTATTTCCCACTCCACACCAAAGACACTTTTGGACATAAATAGGAAGATGGGGAGGGTTAAAGAGTCCTAACATTATGTTTAAAGATGGAATGGGAACCTAGTTCTTTTTATCCATATTTCCCAAGGCAATCCTAATTTCAAATATTCTATCTCATTTATCCCCAAAATAGATGATTCGTTATCAGACCCATGTACCCTGATTTTTAACCTGGAAATATCACTACATCCTGAAGGCATTGGGAATTTGAAATCTAACACTGGTCTCTGGTCAACAACAAGTCATGTGTCCACAGCTAATTTGGAGTGGCCAGTAGGCCCCTTCAAGGAGAACAAACAGGAAGAAAGTAAAAGATGGAAAAAGGGAGCAAGAGAAACTTATATTTGTGGAAAATACATGCCAGACATTTGGGTAAGGGACTTTTTTTGTGTGATCTCAATCTCTGTAATTCTCCAAGGTAAGCATTAACATCCCCATTTTTACAGATGATAACCTGTGAAGTTAAACAAGTAGCCCATAGTCACCTAGTTAGTATGTGGTGGAGTAGATTTCAATCACCAGTTGGCCTTACTCTACAGCTTTGCTTTTGCCAATCCCATGTCCCCACCCCCCCACCACCACATATACACAG